GGGAAACCATCAATCGAGTCCTCAATGAGGACACCACGTTGGCCAACAGGATCCGAATCCTCTTCCGAGAGCAAGGGATTACTATCGCCAGCATTCTTACTGCATTGGGCTTCATCATATCAACCCTGGTCATGTCGCTGAGTGGGGGTGGTGGCCCCCAACCCCACCCACACCACCAAGTGGCGGTGATGTTAGAGACTGGATAAAAACATCTGAAATCCCTTGGGAGGCCCTGGCTAAACTTCGCTGGTAAGACCGCCGAAACCCTGCCGGCATCCTGGGTAGCATCGTCTCGTGGCTGCTCAGCACGCTGGCTAAAACTGTCACGTGGCTCGGCCAAAACCTGTGGGCAGCCGTCGTCGCCGTGGCGGGTCTGGTGTATGCGTAGCGGCTAAGGAATTTTAACCAAATGAGACCCAAACCGACCGCGATCCCCGACCACCAGCTGTTTTACGGTCGATGTGCTCCTGATTGGACGCCTGCACGTGTGGGGGTTGGGGCTGTGGGGGTGTGTGTTGAACCCTAGGCTCTGGGGGTGGTACGACTATACCTGTCGCACCAGTATGTGTGGGTCGTGGCACGTGGGGGGTGTTGACATCGGGGTTGACGCCCAACTTTTGGCCTGCCGTGGCTATGACGATTTTGTTGTTGTAGCCCACCACTTTGTTGATTGTCAGTCGCATGTCACTCGGAGCCATGTACAGTCCCACGTCGAACACGTAGTCGACTTTAGACTGGGCGTATTCCAACATGTCTTGGTAGCGTTGGATGGCACCCGTTAGATCGACTGGGGCGGCGATGGCATCCTCGACGTTGGACACGAACTGTTTCTGCGCGTCTAAAGCAGTACCCGTACCGATGATACCGGAACGCGTTTGACTCTGAGCGCCCAGCACGGCCCACACGTATGTTCGTGCATTCGGTGCCAGCATGAGTGAACCCTCTCGAGGTGTCCAGCATGAACTTTTTCCAGTCATCCGCGGCTGGCTGCTCGAAAACCTCCAGACTCGGTAATCCTTGCTGTCGTCGAAAGCCATGTAACGGTCATCCCACTTGTTTGTTGTGATGTGATGATACGACTTGTACCCCCATTCTTTCATCTTTTCGCTGGCTTCCACGAGGGGGCATATTGTGAACGATGGGGATGCCCAACCCATGGTTTGGGTTGAGGAAATCCTCTCTTTGAGGATACGCCTGACCTGGTAGTACACGTGAAACATGAACACAGACTGACTCAGCGGACCCCGCCGAGTGTCGCTCAACGTCAAGTCGCACCCCGTTGTAGCGCACCACACGGCGAAGTTGAGTTGATTCTGCCAGAACTGCATAGGGGTGTTGAACCAGGCGTGGACTGCCTTGACGTTAGTCACCTAAAGCTTATACCGGTCGGACACATCTATGAACTGGGCTCCGAAATACAACCCAGCAGCGTCGACCACGATCTTCATATGCGGGAAATCTATGTCCAGTTTAGGGTAAAACACTCCCGGTTTGTACATTTTTAAAGTATTATATAATGGGTATATATACTCTAACATGTACGTAACACTTCCAGGAATAACGAGTGGCGAGGCCGTTCAGCTGATGCACGCGATCAATAACACGTCAGGCCAACTCAAAGTCACACTCTGCGATATCACCTACCTACCGCGATGGACCAACATCAACGCCAGCAACAACAAGCTGTTCGTCAGTGGCACCCGCAACCAGATAACTGACGACTTTTACAGCGTGTGCTCGCTAAGCAACAAGGTCTTCAAACCCTTGGGAGCCGAACTCAAGATAAACGACTCAAACGGCACAGTGGTGTTAACCAACAACGGAATAAACCCCTTGAGGCTCGGCCGACCATTGGCGAGGACACTCGGTATGCCGGCGGACGAGATAAAACCCACAACTACCGTCACAGGCACGAAGTTACCCGACCTAGTACCGTACCGAGAGCTGTGCATTCATCTCGGTCAGCTGAGCACGACGGACAACATTCAAGGTGGCCACCCTTCCACGATACTGAGAGCCGTACCGGTGAGTACAACGACGGCAGAACCGAGTCGTTTTCACCACGGCAGTACAAGAGGTTAACTCGGGGCACCATCCCTGAGTTGGTAATATCGGTTTTAGATATAAAGCATAATCCTGTGAATAAAGGATACCTCAGCATAACACTGCACATAAAATGACTAGCGCACAAGGTCCCGGAATGAAGTTGAAACAATGCGTCAATGTGGGGATCTCCGACCTCGGGGACACACGCGGATTCGACGACCCCAGAGTAGATGGTAAATTGTACGCCTTGCAGCTTAAAAACAGCATTTACAAATGCGTTGAAGTCCCCTCCATCGGTAGTAGATACCTCAGGAGTGGCCCTCAACACTCGGTTCGACCTAGTCTGCATCGGTGATGATAGATGGTCGGTATACCCATCGTTCGGAGGCAAACTGTTCGACTTTGAAGATGTTGAGAGCACGGCCGTTGTTAGAAACAAGCAGTATACCCTGGTCTTCACCGACGATGACAAGTGGGTGTTGTTACCCGCTCAAGTCGACTGGTTTCTCAACATTAGGCTCGGCTCCCCCTACGTGTTCACGGAAAACAAAGACAACTACCTGAACAAAGTCGTGAACAACGGAACCCTGCTCGTGGCTTACGTCCCGACGCAGAGGCGTTGAGTAGTCATCAGCCCACTCTCCAGTATGGCAGCCCACATGCTGTCAAGCAAGCCCGGGATGCAAAACGTGGCATTGCAGGTGGTGTCTGAATTCGAAGGCGTGGTCAACATCCTGGGGAGTCTACCGGCGAACTCCACGCTGGTCATCAAAGTCTACCTAGGTGAACCACAGCGAGAAGTCGAAGTCGTGAAGGGGATCAAACTCCGGTTGGGGAAACAACACCAGTATCAGGTTTGCACTGTTTACGTGCGGGTGGGTGTCGACTCCCACACCAATCTGCAGGGGGTCACCGTGACCGTGGAAGACACGATATCACTCACCAAGATCTTCCTACCCGACAACATACACTTCATGGGGGTGAAGTGCACCCCTGAGAAATTATCAGAAAAACAATTGGAAACTATCTCGTAATAGTATTATAACAATGTCCAGTCATCGGCCCAACCCCACGCTTAACGATCTATCGGACACAGAGGGATTCGATCAGCCCGGCGAGGACGGCAGCTCGTACGTCCTGCTCTTAAGAGGCGGCGTGTACATACGACAGCCTCTGTCAGACAACTTTAGAGAGCCCAAATGGTTGATCAACATGACCCTCACCGCACCTTATATCTCGTTAAACAAAAATAGGTATGTCACCGAAATTAGGAACAACGGTATCTTGCTCGGGGCTTTCATTCCGGGGTCTAATATAAGTGCTCAGCTAACACCGGATCAAACGAGCAACATGTTAGTTTCACAATAGAAGGGTGAGTTAAGGTTTGGCGACCACCACGATTTCCAATTGGGGTTTATGACTGTGAGACCAGGCTCCACACTCATCATAGAAGTCCATTTCGGGGAAAACCCTTATAGTTCAGCACTACAACTTTTACCCGGGGTGACAATACACTGGAGGCCCCTGAACAGTAACCGACGTTACCGTATCATCATACGACCGGACATCTTAACGGGTTATATAGACCCCTTAGTAAGCCCCCGTGGGGTTCGTGTGAGAGCAGAGTTACCTATTAGCCTCTCACCTATTTCCCTGCACATGGATATAAACCTTATAAGCCTCAAGTACACCACACCTATTTGAAACCCAATTAAAAAATATCTTGTAGTATATATTATACGCACAGGATGGGACTGTACCCAGTCATAGAGGAAGTAGCGAAGACACTGGAAACCGTAGACGGGTTTAGGTTAAAACAGTTATGTGACGTAAAACACCAACTAGAACAAGACCGCGACAGACGGGCAGCATTGTACAAGAAGTACCATAGAGCTTTCAATGTCGTGGACGGGGTTGATACCGCCCTTATGGCAACCAGCATGGGACTAGGGGCGGTAGGTGTCGGGTTGTTGACCACCATCGTAGCCGCACCCATAGTGCTAGGCATCGAAATAACAGCTGGGGTGTCAGGGTTGGCTGGATTGGCGTTTAAGTTTGTGTCACGAAAACTGCATCGTAAGGCATTGAAACACGACGAGATAAGGATCCTAGCCGATGCAAAGTTAAACACCATAGACGACCATATTTCCATCGCACTCACTGACAATAAAATCTCAGAGGAAGAGTTTCGTTTGGTCCTCTCTGAACTCGCAAAATATCACGAAATGAAACGAGAGATTCGAACTAAGTCTCGTAAAAGCACTGTCATCAGCGAAGACGAGAAAAAAAAGTACATAGAACAGGGGATACAACAAGCCCAGCAAGCCTTCATTACGAAAACCAAAGAAATCATAGGAGATTCACGTTAAACTGTTTTTCTGAGATCAACATCATGTAGGGCAGCCACGCGCCGCCGTCAGAGAGGAATCACGGCACAATGTTACCCCCCAAGCAAAATATTTAACACTTACTGTTGAGTAATCCCAATAGAATCCTGTAACCAGCTCATTCACATTAAACTGTTTCCTCGAGGTCAATACGACATAGTGTCACATGATCAGGAAAGTGTTGGTTCGCGGTCATAGTGACCAGGAAGTTAACTGGGGATTCAAAAGTAGTATATACAATGGTGGCGAGATCTAAGGGCCTGACAAAAGCTTTATTTATGAAATAAAGCTTTACAGCGACCTTTCTTGAAATTGATCTCGTACCCCCAGTATATCTACTACTACATCAGAGGTTAAAATTTTACTGCTGACGATCAAGTAATTATCTACAGGCCGCAGGAATGATACTGATTACGACTTAATTGACGTCGACAAACACGTCCGCATTGAGCAAACAACCTATCCGTGAAAATATCATTTTACGAGCGTTTTTACCACTATTAGGTAGCTTCAGTCTTTGACAGTGAATGTTTACATGTTAGAGTGATCTGCCCTTGACTGGGAGGAGTAAGTATCTTGGCGATAGTAGAGGCTCAGACTCCAGGTCTCACCGTCGCATAATTCACCTAAAGCGTATCAACGACACTGACCTAAATGAAAAGAGAAATGTACACACCAGCGATATCATTTCGCGGGGTGCATGTAAAGCGTCTCCTAGCACTTGTTATATGCGGCGTGGTCTTAATTTGGATAGTAGGTCGCTCACGAAGCAAGTCGCCATCGGCATCGGAGAAGTCTATTGGGACCGATCTACTAGCAAACGGAAAAGACAGATTCGTTTTCAACATGGATAGCAAGCGTCGAGGCTTGACTGACGGTACCAGTTTGAGTTTTAGCAAAGGACATTTTGTTCTTGATGGAAAAACTATAAAGATTTTAAGCGGAGCGATGCATTATTTCCGTGTTGTCCCGGAATACTGGAAGGACAGAATGGAAAAGATGAAGTCCTGTGGCTTGAACACACTAGAAACGTAGGTATTTTTGTAACTTTCTTTTAAAATGTTTTTCAAGTACTTGACAGGTATGCATACTGTTTATTCTTTTATTTTCATATCCATGTATAATCAAGCATCACTTGCTTGACAACGACATTAGAATCTATGTCGAAACGTCGCCCATCACAGAATAAAAGAAGTTGTATATCCATAAAAAAATGTCATCAGTCTTCATTACCTCAACTTCTAAAATGCCCATCAAAGAAATTATAAAAGAGAACTTATATAAATCTTAAACCCAGGTTATCTTTCAACAGCAACACCCCTCTTTTCAGTCGGAGTGAGCCATGTGGAAACACCTGTGGTAAAACGATAAATAAGTAGCATTATTAGCAGCGTATACCATGCACTTTGGTCACGCCCATGTACACCAGCACAAAGGTAATTTTGTGATGCCTGATTATAGCTGGTGGATTGATATACTTCTGTCACTCTTTACAAAGTTCGGGTGTGCAAGCCCCTTTTGGTTTGCTGCATGCCAAACCCTGTTTGTTTCCCCCAGGATCCAAAAGGGGCAGGGCGACAGAATTTCAAAAGGGGCAGGGCGACATAATTTCAAAAGGGGCAGGGCAACATAATTTCAAAAGGTGCAGGGTGACAGAATTTCAAAAGGGGCAGGGCGACAGAATTTCAAAAGGTGCAGGGTGACAGAATTTCAAAAGGGGCACGGCGACAGAATTTCAAAAGGGGCACGGCGACAGAATTTCAAAAGGGGCAGGGTGACGGAATTTCAAAAGGGGCAGGGCGACAGAATTTCAAAAAGAGCATGCAATGACAGATTTCCAAGTATTAAGTTAAGTTATTCATGCATATGATTCTTAAAAGGCTAAAAGAGCACAGTTATTTCACTTAACGTCAACAGGAAATAAAAAATTGAAACAACCAACAGAAGTGTTAATAGCAATTATTGTATTAAAACTAATGACAGAAGGGCAGGGCGCCAAATATCAAGTGCAGGGCACTGTGCCTTGCTAAAAATGCCTTGGGGGAACTCTACCAGTAAAGCAGTTTTCCAGATGCTGAAAATGCTGTACAGTACACTGGGTGCTAGGCTAGTTGAAAAACAGATTGATGATCAGAAACATTGTAAACAGACCCTGTACAGACCAAATAGACAGACACTGACACACTGACAGAGTAGACATGTAGACCAAGTACACAGACCCTGTACAGACCAGGGGCGGTGGGGTAGCCGAGTGGTTAAGGTGTTGGCTCGTCACGCCGAAAACCCGGGTTCGATTCCCCACATGGGCACAATGTGTTAAGTCCATTTCTGGTGTCCCCCGCCGTGATATTGCTGGAATATTGCTAAAAGCGGCGTAAAACTAAACTCACTCACTCACTGTACAGACCAAGTAGACAGACCATGTAGATAGACCATATACAGACCAAATAGACAGACACTGTACAGACCAAGTAGATAGACGCTGTATGGACAAAGTAGATAGACCCTGTCCAGACCATGTAGACAGACCATGTAGATAGACCATATACAGACCAAATAAACAGACACTGTATAGACCATGTAGACAGACCCTGGACAGACCAAGTAGACAGACCCTGTTCAGACCATGTAGACAGTAGTGGTATTCCGATTAATTGAAATAATCGAAGATTGGTCGAAGTGACCAAACGACCAAGCTATCGATCACATTTTCTCATAATCAAACACAAACGATTTTGGAACTACTGTTTTAGTGTTTGAAACACTTGACGATGGAACATATCTTCAAAGTTGTCAGGGCCTGAAAACTCGTTTAATTCTTAGAAAACTCACTTCACTAACTGAAAAGTCATGAATGAATATTTCTTGAAGACTCTAGAAAGTTTATGTTCATGATATATTACTCATCACTTTAAAGTAGCAAGTTGCATCAGGTTATACGTATCTGCAATAACAACCTTGGTAGGAACATCTGAAAAATGACGCTAACCAACACTAGACAGACCCTGTACAGACCATGTAGATAGACCCTGTATAGACCACGCATTCAGACCTTGTATCGACCCTGTACAGACAGATGACATTGTCACTCTTGCTATAGTATTGACGTAGTACAGTCAAATTCACACCACCGTGACACACTGACAGAATGTACTGCTTGATTGGTCAATCAATACAATCTATTATTTATCATAACAAGCATCAGTAAGTGTAGCACATTTACTGGGTATGTGATGTGGTGCTTTAGTTGGGGATAATGTTAAAATGACGGTGGCATATCTGGTTTCAACCTTGGACGGTGGGGTAGCCTCGTGGTTAAAGCGTTGGCTTGTCACTCCAAAGACCCGGGTTCCATTCCCCACATGGGTACAATGTGTGAATCCCATTTCTGGTGTCCCCCGCCATGATATTGCTGGAATGTTGCTAAAACTGAAAGCAACGTAAAACTAAACACATGCACTCACTATTATATTTGTTGTTAGCACACAGGTCACACTGGCCTGAGACCTCCAAAGTAAGATCTTGTTCCCATTCCCACCTTCAGTCCAATACCCCCTGCCCTCAGTCCATGTCCCCTTACCCTAGTGCTACAACCCCCTCGCCTCTATCCATTACTCTCTGAAAACTACTGCCCCTACCTTCAATGAAGTTCAGTATATCACACCTGCCCTCAGTCTATGTCTCCACACCCTCAACCTACTCTGCTCATGCTGTTGATCACTGGATTGTCTGGTCCAGACTCGATTATTTACAGACTGCTGCCATATAGCTGGAGTATTGCTGAGAGGGGCGTAAAACTTAACTCACTCACTCACTCAACCTACTAAACTCCACCTGAAACCATTTCCAAGCTCTCAGTATGCTTGTCCGCAGCCCACCACCCCTACCATCATTCCGTTACCTGTAGCCTAAAACAACTACACTCAACCTTATCCTCAGTAAAAATTCTTCTACCCTCGATCCATTTTCCCATTCCTGAAATCCACATTCCATGTCCTCAATGCACCACTTCCACCTGAACACCATACCCCTGATATCCTACAACCTTCAGTTCATTACATCTACCCTCTACCTGAAAACCCTACCTCCATCCACCACCCCTGCCCTCAGTTCATTACCCCTACCCTCTACCTGAAAACCCCTAACCTCCATCCACCACCCCTACCCTCAATTCATTAACCCTACCCTCTACCTGAAAACCCCTACCCTCAGTTCATTAACCCTACCCTCTACCTGAAACCCCTATCCTCAATCCACCACCCCTACCCTCCATCCACCACCCCTACCCTCAATTCATTAATCCTACCCTCAATCCACCACCCCTACCTTTCATCCACCACCCCTACCCTCAATCCACCACCCCTACCCTCAATTCATTAACCCTACGCTCAATCCACCGCCTCTACCCTCAATCCACCACCCCTACCTTCAATCCACCACCTCTACCCTCAATCCACCACCCCTATCCACCTCAACCCTCAATCCACCACCCCTACCCTCAATCCACCACCCCTACCCTCAATCCACCACCCCTACCCTCAATCCACCACCCCTATCCTCAATCCACCACCCCTATCCTCAATCCACCACCTCTACCCTCAATCCAGCCCCCCTGAAAGCCACTGAAATTAGTTATGGACAAGCTTAGTTCATGTTAAATGGGTTCGACATTAGTTTTGTAGTAAATTACCATAAAGCTGACTTATGTCTAATATCAAATGTGTGTATGAGATGCATATTAATATGGTATGTTACGTGTCAAATTGGATTGGCAGACAGAAAATCTTGACTCCTTGCTACCGGACCAGACAATTATGCTGTTGATCACTGCTTTGTAAGGACCAGACTGGATTATTTACAGACCACCGCCATGCAGCTGGAATATTGCTGAGTGCGGTGTTAAACAACAAAGTCTGGAAACCTCCCAAACTCTGCAAATGTATGAAATGCATGCAAACTGGAGTATATTTATGTTTCCATGAGAAAATGAACATATGGGGAGTGAGTAAGTTAGTTTTATGCCGCTTTTAGCAATACTCCAGCTATATCACAGCAGGTGACACCAGAAATAGGCTTCTCACATTGTACCCATGTGGGGAATGGAACCCGGGCCTTGGTGTGATGAGCGAACGCTTTAACCACTAGGCTACCCCACCGCTCGAACGTGTGGGGACAGGGGCCCTTCAGAATACACACTCGGGGTCATTTTCAAAACTTTTGAGGCCACGCCGAGATATCATATAAAAAATATATTTAGATGTATAAAATTGTGTATGAAGGTTTTTGATTCAGAATCACCACCAATTAAAATGTTTTTAAATTGTTTCGCATGATATTTTGTGAATGTAAGAAATGCAGCAATAACAATTAACATACAAAGCTTTATTAAGCTTCAACAGCTTGTTGGCTTGACATGTGCCACATTGGCACAAAGCTGATATATCCTAGAAAATCTGTGTGGGTTATACTGCAGTCATGAAGCATTGATTTTTTTTAAATTATTACTTTTCACTACGACTCAGTCTAAGTAAACTTAGCCTCATTATTATTTGTTACCCTACTATACTGTAGAGGAGTGTAACGAATAGTACTGAGACTAAGTTTACTTAGACTGCACTAGGACTGCACGATATCACCAGTATATCACATTCTACCATTACAGTAAATACTGGATTGTGATTGGTTAATCAAAGTCATTCAGAGGTATATAATCACATTATATACCTCTGATTTCCAAACACAGTATGTATTTTTTTTTAAATTTTATAGAGCGGTTATGGTAGAATGGAGATGCACGTACTGTGTTGGAAAATCAGAGGTATATAACGAAATTATAATAGCTCTAAGTATGTTATTTCCTAAATATGCCTTTCAAACGATATGTATTGCAATATTATTCCTCAGAACTGGTATATTGGGCAGTAAAAATGTGTGATGTTTTGTGACTGTCTCTATGGTTTAAGTTAAAATCTAAACATACTTTCATTCACACTGAAGTTTTCCATTGTAATTGATAAAACAGCATACCTTACTTGCAATAAATTTTACGTAAAAAAGAAAATACCCCTCAAAATATAATTGAAATTCGAAATTTCTGTTATAACTAGTGTTGGGAATTGGTTCAAATCTCATATTTGATGATTGGTTCATTACTACCGATCAATCATAGAAAATAATTGGTTAGCGTCATTTATGAAATTTGTTAATGCACATAAAATAAGGAAAAAAACCATGTAGTCCTTTAAAGGATGACTAGTATGTTGGGAACATAAATTTCTTGGAATCTTCAAGATAAATTCAATCATGACTTGGAACGAGCTTGTAGTGCTTACGAAATGTAACAGACAAAACCAACCATGTGAAAAATATTGTTAATGAAAACAAGTGTTCCAGAATTGTCGATTGATCGATTACTTGGTCGTTTAGTCACTGCGACCAATCTTCGATTATTTCAATTAATCGGACCACCACTGGTTATCACAGCCATAACATGTGTTTTTAGGGCTTTAGTATGTAGAAAATAGGCTCTGCAAATACAATGAATGTCTCTCACTGTCAAACAATGAAGCTCCCAATATATTGCAATACATATTGGAATACTAGTCTCAGAATTGCAATACTTGTATATTGCAATGCAATGTATAAGCCTATATACAACCCTACCTTTCACAGTTTTTCCTGCTTCTCTTCAGTGTGTCAAGAGGCGACTAACGGGATCGGGTTGTCAGGCTCGCTGGCTTGGTTTACACATGTCATCGGTTCCCATTTACGCAGATCGATGCTCATGCTGTTGATCACTGGATTGTCTGGTCCAGACTTGATTGTTTACAGACCGCCGCCATATAGCTGGAATATTGCTGAGTGTGGTGTAAAACTAAACTCACTCATGCTGTTGATCACTGGATTGTCTGGTCCAGACTTGATTGTTTACAGACCGCCGCCATATAGCTGGAATATTGTTGAGTGTGGCGTAAAACTAAACTCACTCACTTTATGAATGTTCTTAGGCCGTCTTTCATAACACATTTTATTTCTGGTTTTATGTTTGTTTTTTTCAGATATGTGTCCTGGAACCTGCATGAACCAACTCCTGGAGTATTTGACTTTGAAGGCATGCTCGATGTCCGGTATGTCTACCACTGATTTAACCAATATTTAAACACAAATTGGATTACAGGGTCTGTCGATACTTAAATAATGAAAATAGAAGTCTTCAGAGCATCACATCTTCACCCTCCCATTTTATACTCAAAGGGTTGGTGAGGTAGCCTAATGGTTAAAGTGTCTGCTTGTCACACTGAAGATCTGGGTTCGATTCCCCACATGGTAAAATGTGTGAAGCTCATTTCTGATGTCCCCTGCCATCATACTGCTGGAATATTGTTGAAAGCGGCGTAAAACAATACTCACTCACTCACTCATACTCAAAAACCTTGAATGCTTAAGTTTAGATTAACACCAACCTGTGGTATGTCATAAAAAACATGTTTGAAAAAACTAGTTCAGCAAAGCATCATGCTGCCCAAAGAACAAATATAAAATGCGTGTCAACAACAGCTGTTTTAATTGTATTTATCACCAATCTGCTTTTGGCATGTGGTCCACTTTCGTTAAGTGATCCAACCCGTTAAGGTACCTTCAGTAACCCATGCTTGTCGGAAGAGACGACTAACAGGATCGGGTGGTCAGGCTCGCTGGCTTGGTTTACACATGTCATCGTATCCCAATTGCACAGGTCGATGTTGATGCTGTTGATAACTGGATTGTCTGGTCCAGGCTCGATCATTTACAGACCGCCGCCATATAGCTGGAATATTGTTGAGTGTGGCGTAAAACTAAACTCACTCACTCACTCACAGTTCATTTCCCCACATTGGTACAATGTTTGAAGCCTATTTCTGGTATTTCCTGCTATGAATATTACTGTATGTGGTGTAAAACCTCACTCACTCACTTTAGTATTGATGATTGCAAGTCTGTGTTTGAATATCATTTTGAATATCATTCACTCACTCTATGTCACCCAGTGTAACACAACAACCTACATATATCAATATCTGTGTGACTTAAATTGTTATGTGACTCACTACTGAACTCATCTTGTCCCGTCTTTGACTAACCAAGTTTACCTACTGTGACACTGAATAATAACATGCGTAAGAAGTCAGCTTGTCTAGGAAGCACAATACGGAACATTACTGATATCGGTCAGGCAAGCCAACAATGCTGGGTTGGGTTTGCTAAGGTATTCACAAACACCTGCATTACATGTTAATGCATTAATAATACATCTACAGAAATATCCTATTTCTTTGACCTGGAAAGGGAAACCATGTTCTCTGTGTCAAAGAGAGGTAATGGATCATAGTCAACAACTGATTATCTTGACATGGGTCGGGCACATGAAACACTTACGATGAATACAGAGTTGTGTCTTTTTTATTTTGTTTTACCTTTGTGAACTGATTTATGTATGTAGAGTCTGGTTCATGTGCACTGGAGCACAGCAAATACAGGCCATCTTTCTAACTTAATCTAAGGCTAGGGTAGCCTAGTGGTTATAGTGTTTGTTTGTCAAGCTGAAGACCAGGGTTTGATTCCCCAATCAATATGGTAATACATGATTCCCCTAAGCTTATCGGTTTTACTCTGGGGATGAAACGGTATGCCACGGTGTTGGTAGAACTGCGGTATTTGCCTTCAGTTGGGTATACTGTAATGTAATAAAACAAATCGTTTTTTGTACCGTATTCGGTTTTCGGTTTTCGTACCGTTCTTTTATCGAGTCATAAAATGACAGTTTTGTTTAGTCAAAATAACAAGGATTATGGTTATTTATTTTTTTCGTGTTACTAAACAATGTAAGGTTTGGCGCTTTTCAATTTTCCGTATTATGATCATTTCTCATGTAAGAAATGACCTCATGTAAGAAATGACCTCATGTAAGAAATGACCTCATGTAAGACCTTGTATCACAATACGTGGAGTTCCATGGTAACAGCATACCGTTTCACTCCTATTTTACACAGTGTGTGAGTTATGTGTGATAATATCAAGGCTTTACCGAAGTAACCATGACAACGAAAGATTCCACATTTGTATGGAGACACTGACACTGATACAGCTGATCATTAGAACTACAGAGAATCCATGTGACACGAATATTATACATATCATAAATACTGGATGACAAATGCGAATGTTGGTTGACAAATATACGAACAAGTCAGCGGATCATGTGTTATGCATGACATTCAGTGAAACAGCGATTAAATGTATTCTTTAACGATGTTAAAGTTATTCTTTAACGACTGACTGACTGAGTTTGGTTTTACGCCGCTTTAGCAATATTCCAGCAATATCACGGCGGGGGACACCAGAAATGGGCTTCACTCATTGTACCCATGTGGGAAGCCAACGCTTTAACCACTAAAGTACTGTCGGAAATGCTAGAAAAATGCTTTTTAGCCTTAATATCTTTATAAAGGTGATAAATATACTATGTTGTCAATATATCACCTCGCCTATTGTCTACCTAATTTTTATTTCAATCGATTTAACATTCTGATGCATTTAAAGGGCAGTTTACAGGAGAGAATTTGGTACCAAAACAGCAACTTCAGATTTTTTCCGAGTTCAACAACAGAAATCTGAAATAGTCTTTACATTTATGCTAATAATACAGGTGGTGTAAAAATATGAATTAACGTTTTTCCTAAACAAATAAATGTTGAATGTTTGTGTTACTTTACTTAATTATCGTTTTCTTTATTGAAGAAATATTAATATACGTGTAAATGTTAAGTCTTGATAAATAAGTTTCCCGTCATGCATGCACATCTTTATCACAGCGTCCACTATGGCCAACGATTTGCAGTCGATTGTTGCAAAGGTTTATAGGTTTTTTCTGCTTAAAAAAGACAGAGGTAAACCTTTCATTAGTTTAGAAATGGTTAATTACAGAACGTGTAGAGCTGTTGGCATGTCTTACCAACAAGTTTACAATATTGTAAACAAATCAAACAAGACAGGGACCGTCTCAAATGGAAAACCGGGACGTAAAACCATCCTTGACAACTTTGACAAGGGAGTACTTAGACGGGCGGTCTACAAACTTTATGAGAAGAAAAATATATATATTCTAAAGAAGCTACACCAGTGACTTCGTTAAATCTTTGGCCAATTTTTACAACTAGATTAAACTGACCGAATTACATCCATATTTTTTCATTGAAATAAACTGTTGACATGCAAAACATTTATTAAAACGTTGCACATTTCTACAATCAATCGATAAGATAACACAAGTGATAGGATTCTTTCCAATGTACAGTAATTCGAATGTTTATTTCAAAACAAACACACATACACAAATGATCCCATACATAACTGATAATGCGATTATACTATGCATACACATATTCAACATTTTGCAGAAAACATCTATTGAGATGACCCCTTCCCCGAGCGTGTGCTCAGGTGTCAATTTCACCTGTCGATAGCGTGCATGCTGATGACGTAACACAGGCAGTTAATGTTTGTTTCAAATAACGTCCCACTACCCCTTATTTTTCTAAGTTTTTGGTATTTTCATCAGTAAAAACACATTTTAGAGCATGTCTCAAAATTTATTCCCTCGGTCTACATTAGGTAGATGTTTCTTGAAGTGATATTTGTTATTTAAGTAACTGTAATACCTCTGAATTTTAAATATAAGTCAAAAAGCATTTTTCTAGCATTTCCGACAGTACTTTAGACTATCCCACCGCCCCAATTTTTAACGATGTTAATGTAGAATTATTTAATTAAATTATCAGTTAAGTGACCAATGGCCACATTACTGTCAAATTATATATGTAGAAAACAGAGTTGACTTTGATCTGTCTGGTTTAGATAGATTCTGTTTTACATATTTTGGTTTGTTAAACAAGACCTAAATTCAAATGAAATTACTCCTGTTTAAAAAGTTCATGGATATTTTATTCCAGTGAATACACACAAGGAACTGACTTTGTGAATGGAAACAGTTTGTTTTTTGTAATACACTGTAGTGATCATCTTTGTGTCCTTTGCAGTGTACAATTAATAACTATCAGTGTACATTTTATCCCACCGCATATAATGCGTGGGATATAGTCGCCGCCTCGTCCGTCTGTCCGTCCATCCGTCCGCCCGTCCGTCCGTAATCATTTTGTTTCCGGACCATAACTCAAAGACCGTTCGATATTTTTTAACCAAAATTGGTAGATATGTCAAAAATAACCTAAGGTGGTGCCTTTTGCTATTTACAGATAATTGTCATTTTTATTTTTCTCGGTTTCCATGGAAACGCTTTGGACTTAGTCTTAAAGAAGGGTGGGCTTCGCTTCCGAGCATAACTCAAGAACCGCTCAATATTTTCAACAAAACTTGGTAGATATATCAAACAGATCCTAAAGTGGTGCCTTTTTGCATTTCACAGATTTTTGGCATTTTATTTTTCCCGGTTTCCATGGAAACGATTTGGACTTAGTCCCAAAAGTGAGGGGTGGGCTTGTTTCGAGCATAACTCAAGAACCGTTCAATATTTTTCAACAAAACTTGGTAGATGTATGAAACAGATCCTAAAGTTGTGCCTTTTGCTATTTGCCGATTTTTGGCATTTTTATTTTTCTTGGTTTCCATGGAAACATTTTGAACTTAGTCTCAAAAAGTAAGGATTGCTTTCGTTTCCGGAGCATAACTCAAGAACCATTCAATATTTTTCAACAAAACTTGGTAGATATATCAAACAGATCCTAAAGTTGTGCCTTTTGCTATTTGCAGATTTTTGGCATTTTTATTTTTCCCGGTTTCCATGGAAACGATTCGGACTTAGTCCCAAAAGTGAGGGGTGGGCTTCGTTTCCAGAGCATAACTCAAGAACCGTTCAATATTTTTCAACAAGACTTGGTAGATATATCAAACAGAACCTTAAGTGGTGCCTTTTGCTATTTGCAGATTTTTGGCATTTTTATTTTTCCCGGTTTCCATGGAAACGATTCGGACTTAGTCCCAAAAGTGAGGGGTGGGCTTCGTTTCCAGAGCATAACTCAAGAACCGTTCAATATTTTTCAACAAAACTTGGTAGATGTATGAAACAGAACCTTAAGTGGTGCCTTTTGCTATTTGCCGATTTTTGGCATTTTTATTTTTCTTGGTTTCCATGGAAACATTTTGGACTTAGTCTCAAAAAGTAAGGATTGCTTTCGTTTCCGGAGCACAACTCAAAAACCATATAATATTTTTCAACAAAACTTGATAGATATATCAAACAGATCCTAAAGTTGTGCCTTTTGCTATTTGCAGATTTTTGGCATTTTTATTTTTCCCGGTTTCCATGGAAACGATTCTGACTTAATCCCAAAAGTGAGGGGTGGGCTTCGTTTCCGGAGCACAACTCAAAAACCTCTCTATATCTTTCAGCAAAACTTGGCAGATATGTGAGGCAGATATTGAAGTGATGCCTTTGCTATTTGCAGATATTTGTGATTTATTATTTTCTCGGTTTCCATGGAAATGATTCGAACTTAGTCTCAAAAAGGAAGGGATGGGTTTTGTTTCGAGCACAACGCGAAAACTTCTTAATATCTTTCAGCAAAACTTGGCAGATATGTGAGGCAGATCCCAAAGTGGTGCCTTTGCTATTTGCAGATTTTTGTCATTTATTTTTTTCATGATTTCCATGGAAACGATTTGCACTTAGTCTAAAATCAAGCTGGACTTTAAGTAACTGTCAGATGATTTGTTCTTTCAAAGATGTGGGGCCGGGGATATGTCATCTTCTGATGACTCTTGTTTAATTTGGCCCAGTGCAAGGTGTTGCAATTTTCTGTACAGAGTTGTGTCCCTTGGGCACTCCAGAAACCCTCCCTCCCTCTCTCACTCAGTCCCTCTCCCTGGCTATTCACTCCAACTCAAGGTCTCATCGCTGTATGGCTGGAATAATGCCGATGTGACGTAAAACCCAACTCAATTCAACCCTTACTCACTCACCTTCACTCCAAACCTCACTCCCTCACTGACTCCAACCTTCTTCCTTTCACTCTCACTCACTCACTCTAGCCTTCCTCCTCCCGTCCCTCTCTCACTCACAAACTTGACTTGTTATTACAGAAAGTACATCCAACTGGCCCAAGAGGTCGGGCTCCATGTCATCTTTCGCCCGGGACCCTATATATGCTCTGAGTGGGACTTCGGAGGACTCCCCAGGTAATATCATCGTTGTACTCTGGAGACTGACAGGTAAATGTCATGTTGGTACTTTTTGGGACTGAAAGGTATATGTCATTGGTATTTTTTGGGATGGACAGGTAAATGTCATTGGTACTTTTGGGGCTGGACAGGTAAATGCCATTGTTGGTACTTTTGGGAAATGACAGGTAAATGTCGTTGTTGGTACTTTTGGGGCTAACTGGTAAATGTCATTGTTGGTACTCTTGGGAAATGACAGGTAAATGTCATTGTTGGTACTTTGGGGACTAACAGGTAAATGTCATTGTTGGTACTTTTGGGAAATGACAGGTAAATGTCATTGTTGGTACTTTTGGGGACTAACAGGTAAGTGTCATTGTTGGTACTTTTGGGAAATGACAGGTAAATGTCATTGTTGGTACTTTTGGGGATGGACAGGTAAATGTCATTGGTACTTTTGGGGTAGTCAGGTAAATGTCATTGTTGATACTTTTAGCAAATGACATTGTTGGTACTTTTAGGAAATGACAGGTAAATATTACTGTTTGTACTTTCAGCGATGGACAGGTAACTAATTTTAGTTTGTTATAACCATAGTTTGTTCGACTAAAACATACAGCAAGTATTGAGGACAAAATAAATGGTTCATAATATTGGTCATTTTGTTATAGCGTGTTTATTATAATCATAGTTTACCTGTAATCTGTTGTTGGTTGTGTAGCTGGCTCCTGGCAGACCCCAACATGAAGGTGCGCTCCAACTACCCCCCTTACCAGAAGGCAGCCGACAGATTCTTCAGTAAAGTGCTCCCCCTAGTCAACGATCTACAGGTAGGTTGTACACCGAAGAACCATGTTCTACTCCCCACATGGGTACGATGTGTGAAGACCATTTCTGGTGTCCCCTGCTTTGATATTGCTGGAGTATTGCTAAAAGCATTGTAAAACCCAACTCACTCACTCATTCACTTAAAAGCGACGTAAAACTAAACTCACTCACTCACTACAGGTAGGTTGTGCCTTACAGAGAGGTTAATTAACAGACAGACCTAAGGATACTGATGTCTGTCCTACATGGTGGCGGTGTGTGGTCCTCTGCGTAGAGCTCAGGTCACAATCAGTTGAAGTTAAGCAACGTTGGTCGCGGACAGTCCTTGGATGGGTGACCGTGTTTGGCAGCTTCAGTTTCTGGGACTTCAGTCCTGCCCCACAACGAAGCACATGTGACGCACGTGGTCTCACCTTAGGCAAGTGAGTTTGTTCAAAATTGCCTCTGTCCACCCAGCAGTAAAATTGGGTACCTGGTATGATACGATGGTAGTCTGAATTTGAACCTTGAGCGCCTGACAGGCGACCGGTTGTATTCTCCACATGGAGTGTTCTGTACTCGTTGACCAGGTAATATGTCAGCGCTTTGAGCATGCAATGTGTATGGATAAACGCGCAATATAAATGGACTATTATTGTTATTATTATGGTGGGCCCAGACTTGGATGATGTTCCAAAACTGATGCTGGGCTTTGTTGTTTGTGTGTTTGCTGTGTAAGGCCGCACTCAATAATATTCCAGCTATACAATGGTGGTATGTAAATAATCGGGTCAGGACAAGACAATCCAGTGATCAACAGCATGAGCATTGATCGGTGCAATTGGGATACAATGATGTGTGTAAACCAAGCCAGTGAGCCAGACCACCTAATCCCATTAGTTGCCTCTTACAAGCATGGCCGGAGAGCGGAAGGTCGCGGGTTCGATCCCCGACCGCGTCATACCAAAAGACGTTAAAATATGGTACTTGTTGGTCCCCGCCTGGCGCTCGGCATTAATGGGTACAACAAGGACTGGTCGGCTCGGAGTCAGTATATGTGTCTGAGTGGGGTATTCATGCTTCACTGCGGCATGGTATCTCAGTGGGCTAGCACTATAAAACCAGCTTCAGTCTGGGCTAGTACAAGCAGCCACACATACACATACACACGCATGAGCACTAAGCCTCATCATCCATGTTTTGAACTGTAATTCAGTAAATTTGGACAGACTCGAGAGCTGTATGAGTGATAAGAATTGAATGGGTTGATTGTTTTATTACATATACAGTACAACCAGGAATTATTCAGAATTTAAAGATTGTAAAATTATTTCTTTTCACTCATTACTCACGTATTAAATGTGAATATTAGCAGAACATAACTCCAGATTCAAAGACAGGTGAACAGTTAGTATTTTGTCAAGTCACCATAGGCAGCAATGCAGGCTTCAATGCGGCGGGGCATACTACTGATCAAAGAAGTTAGAAAGTCGTGGTCCATGCTGTCCCAATATCGACCACCTCTTCTTTCATTTCAGCAATATTTGTCAGATTTTTCTTATTGACACTTTCCTTCATAAGTCCCCAAACATTTTCTATTGGATTTAGGTCAGGGCTATAGCTTGGCCAATCTAATAATGTCATATTTTGGGTCCGAAACCAGGCCTGTGAATGCTTTGAACGATGTTTTGGGTTGTTGTCCTGCTGGAAAATCCAAACATTTTCCATAAAACACGTGAGCAGATGGAAGTTAATGTCCCTCGAGAATATCTGTGTACCACTGTTCATATTCCCTTCAACTACACAGAGGGGTGTTGCCCCTAACACAGATATGCCACCCCACACGTTAAATTTCAGACTGTACTTTGGGCGCTGATACAAAGGTTTTTCAGTTTGTTTGGTCCAGAATTTCAGTGTATTAGGAAACAGCCACACAGAACTTTCATCTGAGAAAATCACATTGTCCCAGTTAAAATTTCTATGCTGTAAGCACCAGTTCAACCTTCGCTCCTTTTGTTCAGGTTTCATGATCGGTGATGGAATTCCTCGACTTTTCTGCCAACCCATTGCATTCAACTCAGTTCTAATTGTCTCCTTACAGACAGCCACAGTTCCTCTATCAATCATATTCAGCCTTAAGTTTTCTAAACTCCTTCGTTTGTTTTTAGAAACAAGAATACCAAGCCGCCTCCTGTCACTGACAGTCAATTTTCTGGGCCTACCTGCGCCTCCCTGGTGCTCAATGCCATATCCATTTGCAATATTTTTCAAAACATGATAAACAGTGGACAATGGAATGCCTGTTCTACTTGAAATCAATTTAGCTGATCTGATGTCCTTGTTATAATACTCTAAAATCAACTTCCTCTTCTCTAAATCATCCATGCTGAGGATCACTGAAAATGTCGTCTGCTAGCAAGTAATCAAAGGGGGATAACTTCACAAACTAATGAAAAGGGATTAACAGAGTTGTCTCTCTTGAATGAAACCAAACACTTGATAGCTGGTCAAGGTTGTTTATACTAGAAATCCAATTAAACATATTCCTAAAAATCTCAATAATTTCTGGTCATACTATATGCCTTTGGCTCTCAGGTTGGACCAATCCTGAAAACATGGCTCAGTGTTTCTGTATTTTCTTTTTCAATTTCCCCCTTTGTGTTTGTTTTTCCCAATATCCCCATTGTGTCAGTATTTCCCAGTATTCCATATTCCTGTTTCAGTATTCCCAAGTATTCCATATTCGTGTTTCAGTATTCCATTATTCCACATTCATGTTTCAGTATTCCCAGTATTCCACATTTGTGTTTCAGTATTCCCAGTATTCCATATTCCTGTTTCAGTATTCCCAGTGTTTCATATTCCTGTTTCAGTATTCCATTATTCCATATTCCTGTTTCAGTATTCCCAGTATTCCATATTCCTGTTTCAGTATTCCCAGTATTCCATATTCCTGTTTCAGTATTCCCAGTGTTTCATATTCCTGTTTCAGTATTCCATTATTCCATATTCCTGTTTCAGTATTCCCAGTATTCCATATTCCTGTTTCAGTATTCCCAGTATTCCATATTCCTGTTTCAGTATTCCCAGTATTCCATATTCCTGTTCAGTATTTCCCAGTGTTCCATATTCCTGTTTCAGTATTCCCAGTCTTCCATATTCCTGTTCAGTGTTCCCAGTATTCCATATTCCTGTTTCAGTATTTCCCAGTATTCCATATTCCTGTTAAGTATTCCCAGTATTCCATATTCCTTTTTCAGTATTCCCAGTATTCCATACTCCTCTTCAGTGTTCCCAGTATTCCATATTCCTGTTTCAGTATTTCCCAGTATTCCATATTCCTGTTAAGTATTCCCAGTATTCCATATTCCTGTTCAGTATTCCCAGTATTTCATATTCCTGTTTCAGTATTCCAAGTGTTTCATATTCCTGTTTCAGTATTCCCAGTATTCCATATTCCTGTTTCAGTATTCCCAGTATTCCATATTCCTGTTTCAGTATTCCCAGTTTTCCATATTCCTGTTTCAGTATTCCCAGTATTCCATATTCCTGTTTCAGTATTCCCAGTATTCCATGTTCCTGTTTCAGTATTCCCAGTATTCCATATTCCTGTTTCAGTATTCCCAGTATTCCATATTCCTGTTTCAGTATTCCCAGTATTCCATATTCCTGTTTCAGTATTCCCAGTATTCCATATTCGTGTTTCAGTATCCCCAGAATTCCATATTCCTGTGTCAGTATTCCCAGTATTCCATATTCCTGTTTCAGTATTCCCAGTATTCCATATTCCTGTTTCAGTATTCCCAGTATTCCATATTCCTGTTTAGTATTCCCAGTATTCCATATTCCTGTTTCAGTATTCCGAGTATTCCATATTCCTGTTTCAGTATTCCCAGTATTCCATATTCCTGTTTCAGTATTCCCAGTTTTCCATATTCCTGTTTCAGTATTCCCAGTATTCCATATTCCTGTTTCAGTATTCCCAGTATTCCATATTCCTGTTTCAGTATTTCCTAGCGTTTCATATTCCTGTTTCAGTATTCCCAGTATTCCATATTCCTGTTTAGTATTCCCAGTATTCCATATTCCTGTTTCAGTATTCTCCGTATTCCATATTCCTGTTTCAGTATTTCAAGTTTTCCATATTCCTGTTTCAGTATTTCCCAGCATTCCATATTCCTGTTTCAGTATTCCAAGTATTCCATATTCCTGTTTTAGTATTCCCAGTATTCCATATTCCTGTTTCAGTATTCCCAGTATTCCATATTCCTGTTCAGTATTCCCAGTATTCCATATTCCTGTTTCAGTATTTCCCAGCATTCCATATTCCTGTTTTAGTATTCCCAGTATTCCATATTCCTGTTTCAGTATTCCCAGTATTTCATTTCCTGTTTCAGTATTCCCAGTATTCCATATTCCTGTTTCAGTATTCCCAGTATTCCATATTCCTGTTCAGTATTCCCAGTATTCCATATTCCTGTTTCAGTATTCCCAGTATTTCATTTCCTGTTTCAGTATTCCATATTCCTGTTTCAGTATTCCCAGTATTCCATATTCCTGTTTCAGTATTCCCAGTATTCCATATTCCTGTTTCAGTATTCCCAGTATTCCATATTCCTGTTTCAGTATTCCCAGTATTCCATATTCCTGTTTCAGTATTCCCAGTATTTCATTTCCTGTTTCAGTATTCCCAGTATTCCATATTCCTGTTTCAGTGTTCCCAGTATTCTATATTCCTGTTTCAGTGTTCCAGTATTCTATTCCCATATTCCTGTTTCCATTCCCAGTATTCTATATTCTGTTTCAGTATTCCCAGTATTCCATATTCCTGTTCCCAGTATTCCATATTCCTGTTTCAGTATTCCCAGTATTCCCAGTATTCCATATTCCTGTTTCAGTGTTTCCAGTTATTCCATATTCCTGTTTCAGTATTCCCAGTATTCCATATTCCTGTTTCAGTATTCCCAGTATTCCATATTCCTGTTTCAGTATTCCCAGTATTCTATATTCCTGTTTCAGTGTTTCCAGTATTCCATATTCCTGTTTAGTATTCCCATTATTCCATATTCCTGTTTCAGTATTCCCAGTATTCCATATTCCTGTTTCAGTATTCCCAGTATTCCATATTCCTGTTTCAGTATTCCCAGTTTTCCATATTCCTGTTTCAGTATTCCCAGTATTCCATATTCCTGTTCAGTGTTCCCAGTATTCCATATTCCTGTTTCAGTATTTCCAGTATTCCATATTCCTGTTTCAGTATTCCCAGTATTCCATATTCCTGTTTCAGTATTTCCCAGCATTCCATATTCCTGTTTAGTATTCCCAATATTCCATATTCCTGTTTCAGTATTCCCAGTATTCCATATTCCTGTTTAATATTCCAAGTTTTCCATATTCCTGTTTCAGTATTCCCAGTATTCCATATTCCTGTTCAGTATTCCCAGTATTCCATATTCCTGTTTAATATTCCAAGTTTTCCATATTCCTGTTTCAGTATTCCCACTATTCCATATTCCTGTTCAGTATTCCCACTATTCCATATTCCTGTTCAGTATTCCCAGCATTCCATATTCCTGTTTCAGTATTCCCACTATTCCATATTCCTGTTTCAGTGTTCCCAGTATTCTATATTCCTGTTTCAGTGTTCCCAGTATTCTATATTCCTGTTTCAGTGTTCCCAGTATTCTATATTCCTGTTTCAGTGTTTCCCAGTATTCCATATTCCCATTTCAGTATTTCCAGTATTCCATTTTCCTGTTTCAGTATTCCCATTATTCCATATTCCTGTTTCAGTATTCCATATTCCTGTTTCAGTATTCCCTGTATTCCATATTCCTGTTCAGTATTCCCAGTATTCCATATTCGTGTTTCAGTATTCCCAGTGTTTCATATTCCTGTTTCAGTATCCCCAGAATTCCATATTCCTGTGTCAGTATTCCCAGTATTCCATATTCCTGTTTCAGTATTCCCAGTATTCCATATTCCTGTTTCAGTATTCCCAGTATTCCATATTCCTGTTTCAGTATTTCCCAGTATTCCATATTCCTGTTTCAGTGTTCCCAGTATTCTATATTCCTGTTTCAGTGTTTCCCAGTATTCCATATTCCCATTTCAGTATTTCCAGTATTCCATTTTCCTGTTTCAGTATTCCCATTATTCCATATTCCTGTTTCAGTATTCCATATTCCTGTTTCAGTATTCCCTGTATTCCATATTCCTGTTCAGTATTCCCAGTATTCCATATTCGTGTTTCAGTATTCCCAGTGTTTCATATTCCTGTTTCAGTATCCCCAGAATTCCATATTCCTGTGTCAGTATTCCCAGTATTCCATATTCCTGTTTCAGTATTCCCAGTATTCCATATTCCTGTTTCAGTATTCGCAGTATTTCATTTCCTGTTTCAGTATTCCCAGTATTCCATATTCCTGTTTCGGTATTCCCAGTTTTCCATATTCCTGTTTCAGTATTCCCAGTTTTCCATATTCCTGTTTCGGTATTCCCAGTATTCCATATTCCTGTTTAGTATTCCCATTATTCCATATTCCTGTTTCGGTATTCCCAGTATTCCATATTCCTGTTTCAGTATTCCCAGTATTCCATATTCCTGTTTCAGTATTCCCAGTTTTCCATATTCCTGTTTCAGTATTCCCAGTATTCCATATTCCTGTTTAGTATTCCCAGTATTCCATATTCCTGTTTCAGTATTCCCAGTATTCCATATTCCTGTTTCAGTTATCCCAGTATTCCATATTCCTGTTTCAGTATTCCCAGTATTCCGTATTCATGTTTCAGTATTCCCAGTATTCCATATTCCTGTTACAGTATCCCCAGTGTTTCACATTCCTGTTTCAGTATTCCCAGTATTCCATATTCCTGTTTAGTATTCCCAGTATTCCATATTCCTGTTTCAGTATTCCCAGTATTCCATATTCCTGTTTCAGTATTCCAAGTTTTCCATATTCCTGTTTCAGTATTCCCAGTATTCCATATTCCTGTTCAGTATTCCCAGTTTTCCATATTCCTGTTTCAGTATTTCCCAGCATTCCATATTCCTGTTTCAGTATTCCCAGTATTCCATATTCCTGTTTCAGTATCCCCAGTATTCCATATTCCTGTTCAGTATTCCCAGTATTCCATATTCCTGTTTCAGTATTTCCCAGCATTCCATATTCCTGTTTATTATTCCCAATATTCCATATTCCTGTTTCAGTATTCCCAGTATTCCATATTCCTGTTTCAGTATTCCCAGTATTTCATTTCCTGTTTCAGTATTCCATATTCCTGTTTCAGTATTCCCAGTATTCCATATTCCTGTTTCAGTATTCCCAGTATTCCATATTCCTGTTCAGTATTCCCAGTATTCCATATTCCTGTTTCAGTATTTCCCAGCATTCCATATTCCTGTTTAGTATTCCCAGTTTTCCATATTCCTGTTTCAGTATTCCCAGTATTCCATATTCCTGGTTAAGTTTTCCCAGTATTCCATATTCCTGTTTCAGTATTCCCAGGGTGGGCCTATCATCGCTGTACAGGTGGAGAATGAGTTTGGCTCCTACAGCAGTGAGATCGAACATCTGGACTTCCTCCGAGGGGTGAGTTGTAGATTATGTTAGGGCTGTTTACTGTGTTATTGTATTTGTTAACGGAAAACTTGTCACTTTTCGTGTGCAGAGGAAACAGCGAAAGCAAAAACCGACAATGTTAAGGTGATTTTTGTTTCTTGATTCGCTGTCAAAACATCAACATGAAGTATAATAAGATTTTTGACTTTCACTCACTCACTCACTCACTCTTCGTCTTCAGCTGCTCAGGCATTACGGCATCACTGAACTCCTTGTCACCTCTGACAATCTCTCTGGTATGAAAAGGGGGCCATTCCATGAACGTGAGTAACAGTTTTTTTGTTTACGTGAAAGTGTGCTGAACAGAGGTTTGTGTTCTGTTATAAGTTGTTAGGTGTATAGTATCATCAACCTGAATTCTTACCTGTTGTACCTCATTCACAGTTGTTAATGCAACCTGCTGGATATACGATATATTCTGTCTCAGTCATGTCTGAGACTGGTCTTTCATGAAATACCTCGTCTTGAATAAAAACAAAAAAGTAAAGAAAGTATCTCGTCTTGTCCATGTGATACAAGCGACCTGAAAGAGTATGCAAAAAAATGGAAGACATTCTAAGTTCTCAATTAGATAATTCATTATTATGTTATTTATCATATACTAAATCAGGACAGGCTCATTGACTTGGCTGACACATGTCATCGTATCCCAGTTATGTAGATCGATACTCATGCTATTGATCACTGGATTGTCTGGTCCAGACTTGATTATTTACAGACCGCCGCAATAATGCTGAAATATTGCTGAACATGGCGTTACTTGAAACCACCCAACCAACCTTAGTGAATTCATTGCAGCCTTATTGATCTTCAGTAACCCATGCTTGTCGTAAGAGGCGAATAACAGGATCGGGTGGTCAGGCTCACTGACTTGGTGGACATATGTCATCAGTTCCCAATTGCGCAGATCGATGCCCTTAATGCTAGTTATCTCAAATGGATTTCTCATCCGCAGGTTAAAGAATCTCAATTTACATATTTCTAACATTAGACTGCTGTTTCTATTCTGCTTCATTCTTAGCTTACATATATATCATTAAGGCGTGAGTGAGTTTAGTTTTACGCTGCACTCAGCAATATTCCAGCTATATGGCGGCGTTCTGTAAATAATCGAGTGTGGACCAGACAATCCAGTGATCAAACTGTTCACTATTTCTTCACCAAACTTGGCACATAGATTGGTCTGGTGGTGTACTGGTGCCTTTTGGTAGTTTGGGAATTCTGAATAAAATATTTTTGGCATTTCCATGGCAACAAGTTTGACTTAGCCTGAAATTGTTGGTAATGAACTTTTCCGGAGCAGAACTCAAAAAACGTTCACTATTTCTTCACCAAACTTGGCACATACATAGATCTGGTGGTGTACTGGTGCCTTTTGGTAGTTTTGGAATTCTGAATAAAATATTTTTGGCTTTTCCGTGGCAACAAGTTTGACTTAGACTGAAATTTGATGGTAGTGCTCTTTTCTGGAGCTGAACTCTAAAACCGTTAACTATTTCTTCAATACTCTCCTTCTACTTTTCTATATACACACCTAAATATTTGACAAAATCATAACTCGTAGACATAATCATGAAGAGTATTTTGCCATTGCGGGGGTTATTGATAACTTTGTCTTCTTGTTAATGCACTGTTGTATCCAATGTCTTCAAATTTGGTGACAGGTTACACAGACACCAGTCGATTGGGGCGACATTGACCTTATTTTCAAGGTCACCATGACACTTTGATCACTTTTTAAACTCTTGTTAATGCGATATCTCATAAAACATTGCACCCAATGTCTTAAATTATGTTGACAGCCTACATTGGGTGATTATGCAGACACCAGTCATTTCAGGCATCTTTTATGTGACCAAAAAATAGAAAGTAGTAAATATAGATATTCCATTCATTGCCATATCGGTGGCAAACACTTGTTATCTTATCACTGTTGCTCCTTACTCCCAGTCACTATTTATATAGTTGATGCCTCGTCTGTTCGTCTGTCTGTCTATTATCATTTTGTTTCCGGAGCATAACTCAAAAACTGTTCAATATCTTTCAACAAAACTTGGCAGATATATCAAACAGATCTTGAAGTGGTGCCTTTCGCTATTAGCAGATTTTTGTCATTTTTATTTTTCTTGGTTTCCATGGAAACGATTTGGACTTAGTCTCAAAAGGGAGGGGTGGGCTTTGTTTCCTGAGCACAACTCAAAAACCGTTCAGTATCTTTCTGCAAGATTGACAGATATATGAAACAGTTCTTGATCTGGTGCCTGGTGATCTGGTGTAATTTGTCATCTTCTGATGACTATTGTTTATCAAGTCACTAACTGTCCATTGTCTGAAGCTAGTAGACCTTGAACCCATCCACCTGTACAGCCCAGCAAGATTGTTTTTCTACCTGTCAGACGATCTAGTGTTCATGGGACTAATCACTTTGATAACTGCTCTCATACCTGTCATAGGATATATGACGTGAAGATGAGATAAGGTAATACCTTATTTTCCAATGAGAAATGTTGGCTACATCTTGAATGAATTATGATGAAAAAAACCCATAGACAGCATACAAGATAGAGAGTTTAAGTACATTGCTGGGAATAGGACAAGAAATATCATGCTCTAGAAATAAGTAATAGTATATAATAAAGAATTGTTTAAACAAAAGATAAATAAAAATAAAAATATTGAATCGTTACTTATTGTGAATAGCTCAAATAATGGAGTATGGGGAGTATACAATCATGCTTTGGAAATGTAGAATAGTTTTAAAAAAACCTCCTTAAGCATATTACAACGAATTCATGCAAAATTACTGATACGGCGTAAAGCAATATTCACTCACTCATTCCATAAGCCTAATATTTTTGAATATATTCCGAGAATTTGATGTTTACAATATTGATAGACATGAGGGTAATAATGGCTACCATAAAGATGTTTCGCCATTAGATTTGTGATTTTCATCCACACACTGTCAAAAACTGACCTTAGGCCAGACCAATTTTATTTCTTGTTTTAAGGATTTTTGTCCTCAGAAAACCTAAAGGCAGGAGGGAAAAAAAATAAATATAAACATCACCAGTCAAAGTAATATTTCTTTTGCATACTAAAAGTATTTTATTTTTGGCAAGTTATAAAGTGTATATTGGGCCAAAAACAATTAAAAAATTTTTGGGGTAAGTTTACTTTCTTTGCCAATAAAAACATGAGGATTTTATTTTTGGAGCGGGGAAAATTAATTTTTATATTTTTCCTTATCCTTGGAAAAATACGACCAGCGGATCCATAAAACAAGAAATAAAATTGGTCTGGCCTTATGGCTGTCTTGAAGTTATGGCATGATGACTTTGTATTTATATTTTTGCTGTGTTCCTTCAACATCGACACATCAGTGTTTGACTGTTATACGAAACATACACGTTATTCGTATACATTATATATACTGTTATAACCTAGCAACAGCATTAAAACACATACACTCTCTCACTCCAGATGCTCTGCCGACGGCAAACTTCCAGGACTATGAGAAGAGCAGTAAAGAGTTCAACGAAATCCGAAAACTGAACCCAGAATTTCCCCTGATGGTGATGGAGTACTGGAGCGGCTGGTTCGACCACTGGGGTGCCAAGCACTCAACATTCCCCCTTGAAGGTGGGTTGTGTTACGACACTTTATCTCAGACCGGTCAATGTCCGGGTTAGAATTGGTCTTCAGCAATCCACGCTTGTCGTAAGAGGCGACTGACGGGATCAGGTGGTCAGGGCTGACATATGTCATCGTACCCCAATACTAAAAAACATAAAGAGAACCCTCAAAGTCTTCAGAAGTATTTTAATTATCCCCCGCCGCGCGTTTAGCGCGAAGCGAGGGATATAGTATTAGGCTTCGTCCGTCCATACGTACGTCCGTACGTACTTAATTTTCAAGGTCACAGAGACGCTTTGAAGATTTCAGCATGTTAAATTGCATGTTAAGATAGTCAGCAAGATATCGCAAAAAATATTCACTGGATTTTCTTCATATTTGACACCAAGCTTCATCTAGGGAAGGCCCAGGGCCCAGTCAATTTTGGTGACCTTCACATAATTTTTAGGGTCACGACTACTCTTTGAAGATTTCAGCATGTTAACCTGAATTGTCAGCAAGATATTTTAAGAACTGTTCACTGGATTTTCTTCATAGACTTTTAAGACTTCTCTTGAATAATTTTCAATAAGCAATTTCTTTAGTACTAGTTTTGCATATTTCATACACTATGACATTCATGTCAAGGTCAAAGTCAGTCTTGAAAATATATGTGTGTTTGAACAACTAAAGAGCCAGATATCAAGAGAGGTTGACTGGTCATGTTTTTGTTGACATTTAACTTCATCTTAAACTTTCATTACTTTATAAGTTTGATTTGATAATTTGCGGCGGGGGATTATGTCACCTTAGTGGCAATGCTTGTTTCTGAGTTATATCACTTGCTAGATAACGGTGTTAGAACCTACACCGAAATGTCGCTCTCACAGCAATATAGATGTTGGTCATCCATGTACTGTTTTCCTTCCTTGCTACTCCTACTTGTACATGCCTCTCAGTGAAATTAAATCAGAGATAAATATGTCTCTTGATAAACTTTCCATTTCAGATTTTGCCAAGAGTCTATCTGGAATTTTTCACAATGATTCTTCCATCAACTTCTACATGTTTCATGGCGGCACCAACTTCGGTTTTATGGCTGGCGCCAATTATTTTGAAGACTACAAGCCAGATGTTACCAGCTATGGTATGTGCCAATATTTCCTTACAACTTCTATTTCATGTCTAGTGAGGGTCGGTGGGGTAGCCTAGTGGTTAAAGTGTTTGCTTACCATGCCGAAGACCCTGGTTCAATTCCCACATGGGTACAATGTGTGAAGCCCATTTCTGGTGTTACCTGCCATGATATTGCTGGAATATTGCTAAAAACGGCACAAAACCATGCTCACTCACTCACTCATGTCTAGTGAGTGAGTGAGTTGAGTTTTATGCCAGTTTTGGTGAGAGACAGAGACACAGAGAGAGAGAGCTTTAAGCAATGTTCCAGCAGTATCACAGCGGGGGACACCAGAAATGTACTTTGCACATTGTACCCATGTGGGAATGGAACCCAGGTCTTCAGCATGACGAGCCAACACTTCAACCACTAGGCCACCCCACCGGCCCTGTTTCATGTCTAAGTGTAGTGTTAGTATTTCCATTATTACATCCATTGTTGCAGACACAGAAATATTGTTGATTTTGTTTTTCTGTTCATATTTGTTCACAATAATTCCTGAATTTTTAACGCCAGAGGAACATTAATTGGAAGTTTAAATTTCTGTTTATTTATATAGGTGAGCTACAATAACAGGGAACTGTTTCTGTAGGAATTCCAAAATTAAGAAGTTTGAAGTTGATTTCCCTAAAGGATAAATTAATAGAAGCATTATATATGGGGTGGTTCACTTAGGCATTATGGGGCGGTGGAGTAGCCTAGTGGTTAAGGTGTTCACTCATCACACCAAAGACAAAGGTTTGATTCTCCACATGGGTGCAATGTGTGAAGTTCATTTCTGGTGTCCCCTGCTGTGGTATTGCTGGAATATTGCATCAGGCTACCTTATCATGTTTCACAACAGCAGGAATAACGTTCAAGTTCCATTTGATTTACTTTCAAAACAATGAGCAGTGAAGGTCTAATAATCGAGGTCCACGATCTGGCTTGATTGTGGAGTTGGTAACAGGCATAGGAACACATGTAGTGAGTGAACAGGCTTGTCACAATATGTACTGCACAATATACCTTAGCAATATCACGGCTGGGGACACCAGAAATGGGCTTCACTCATTGTACCCATGTGGGGATTCGAACCCGGGTCTTCGACGGGACGAGTCAACGCTTTAACCACTAGACTACCCCACCGCCCCGAGTTGGTAACAGGCATAGGAAGACATGTAGTGAGTGAACAGGCCTGTCACAATATGTACTGCACAATATACCTTCGCAATATCATCAAATTAATCAAATTACGTGTGACACATTTGGTACAAATAGAATCTCAGGTTTCACCTAGAAATGCTTAATCTCTGAAGATATATAATTTTGATAGAAGCAAACAAATTCTTTTAAAACTGAAAGGAGCCCCAGCGTGATGGGAGATTCAGAACCTGGGAAAATCTAGACTAAATCTGGGGTTTAAACATTGCAGGTAGGGCTATGTAGGAGGGAAAATAATGTAGTTCAGGGACTGTGAGACAGACTAGCATTCATTCATCAACTTATGTTTTTAGGGCTACATCTGACGAGGTCATTATCAAATAATAACCTGAACCTAAGGAAAATCTAGACTTGCTTCATTCAGGGCTTCCACTTTGTCGAAACGGCTGGGGGGATGGGAAACTAATGTGGTTTCACCCTCCACCTGTGTGTCTTTCAGACTATGATGCTCCCCTGGACGAGGCTGGAAATATAACTCCCAAGTACGAAAAGGCGAGAGAGATTATCATGGAGTATGTCTTGAAAAAACAAGGTAGGTATGAGTTGTAAGCGAGGTAAATCTGAAGGAATTCTTGGTTGGAATTGGTCCCTAGCAACCTGTGCCGGTCACACATGACAACTGAATAGAACAGGTGGGGAGGCTCATGGATTGTATGACACATGGATACACATGCTCACAGATAGACGGACATACATATATATACACACATATCTCTCTCTCACACACGCACATGCACGCACAAACACACACACACACTGACACAGAGAGAGACACAGAGGCCTACAGATACACACATACACACACCACACACATCCACACATAGATACACACGCCCTGACAGACACACCACACTGACACAGGCCACACACATGCACACACACAGAGATGGCAAGATACACACATAGATACACACGCCCTGACAGACACACCACACCCATACACAGACAGAAAGATAGATTTCCAATTACTGAAGTTTTAAATTTTCTGAAGCGATCACTGAACAGGCAGCCTCCACCCATCAGATAACACACATATATAATTTAACATCTTCATTACCCTGGGGCGGTGGGGTAGCCTAGTGGTTAAAGCGTTCGCTCGTCACGTCGAAGGCCTGGGTTCGATTCCCCACATGGGTACAATTTGTGAGGCCCATTTCTGGTGTCCCCCGCCGTGATATTGCTGGAACATTGCTAAAAACGGCGTAAAACCATACTCAGTCAGTCAGTCAGTTTTCATAACCCCAGATTTACAGTGTGTTTATAACACCCAGATACATATAACGTGTATATAACCCCCTTGTATAACATTTGTTTCACCCAACATACATGTCCACAAACCAAGGTTTACATAAGATGTTATTAACCATGGTATATATAACATGTTTGTATATACAAGTATAACATACAAAATGTTTATATCCCCTAGGAATCACCAGTCTCCCAGAGCCCCCACCAAACAGCGCCAAGGCAGATTATGGTGAGTGAAGTACCAACAGATCTACCATGCTCTCACTTTGTTACAGTTCATATCTCTAACATCTCGTTCTACCAGTGATATACATGGAGACAATGTGGATTGGATGGTCAGACTCAGCCAGTCAGATTACTGAATAGTTGTAGGACCTTGTCGTCCCCAACAACAGTACCTGAACTGCCTGCTGCAGAATCAGTTATATACAAGCTTCTTTGAGAGGCATTTTAGAAGTTGTATAGATGAAGGAAACCCAAGTTCTATGGATAGTCAACTTCTTTATTGCAATGAGTGCGACGTTTTGGGGTAGGTACTAACACCATTATCAAGCAAGTGATGAGAAGGAAACCCAAGTTCTATGGATAGTCAACTTCTTTATTGCAATGAGTGCGACGTTTTGGGGTAGGTACTAACACCATTATCAAGCAAGTGATGAGAAGGAAACCCAAGTTCTATGGATAGTCAACTTCTTTATTGCAATGAGTCGACGTTTTTGGGGTAGGTACTAACACCATTATCAAGCAAGTGATGAGAAGGAAACCCAAGTTCTATGGATAGTCAACTTCTTTATTGCAATGAGTGCGACGTTTTGGGGTAGGTACTAACACCATTATCAAGCAAGTGATGAGAAGGAAACCCAAGTTCTATGGATAGTCAACTTCTTTATTGCTATGAGTGCGACGTTTTGGGGTAGGTACTAACACCATTATCAAGCAAGTGATGAGAAGGAAACCCAAGTTCTATGGATAGTCAACTTCTTTATTGCAATGAGTGCGACGTTTTGGTGTAGGTACTGACACCGTTATCAAGCAAGTGATGACCGTTATCAAACATCACTTGCTTGATAACGGTGTTAGTACCTACACCGAAACGTCACACCCATTGCAATAAAGAAGTTGACTATCCAAAGAACTTGGTTGTCCTTTATATCCAAGCTACTATCGAACAGCTGGAATAGTGCCTCATTAAACAACCAACATGCAGTACACAGAAAATATAATGTAAATGTATATTTTAGTTTGTGCAGCAACTAGGTTCATTTCCATAATTCGTCCATTCCTTTAATGTCCTCTATTTCCCCCTTTGGGGTTTTATACTCACCGGCACCGGAAACACGTCACAGTACCTATATATACACTGGTTCACCATGTGACCATCCTCTTGCTCAATCTCGCCATTAAAATTTAGGATTTCCAACTTCGTACCCTTAGGGCAGTTAAATTGGTAAAACTTGGTCTTCTTACGTTCTATTAAAGGATTCAATTTCACAAATATTTCAGTATATATATCCTTTATAGGCTCTACTGGGGCGGTGGGGTAGCCTAATGGTTAAAGCGTTGGCTCGTCACGCCGAAGACCCGGGGTTCGATTCCCCACATGGGCACGATGTGTTAAGCCCATTTCTGGTGTCCCCCGCCGTGTTATTGCTGGAATATTGCTAAAAGCGGCGTAAAACTAAACTCAGTCAGTCAGTTATAGGCTCTACTTCGTGTCCGTTTTGTGAGGACAAGTTTTCTTGTTATGTGTTTTTTATAGGATTCAGTTTCACAAACGTTACAGTGAATGTATGTGTTACGGTTGCTACGTTTGGTTAATTTTGCCTCTTGCTGGGTATGTAGTCATGTCCATTGTGTGAGGTCTAGTTTACTTAACCAGCTGGTGGATCGTCCCAGCTGTTGGATTTACTTATTGGCTAGACTATAGATTTGTGACAGCTGTGCCGGCAAACATCTGGCATCTGTAGCTGCAGAAATAACTGTCACAGTTTATTAAAATGAATTCAAAATCAGGGGTGTATCTAGGATTTTGCAACCACCCCTCGTACTTGAAATATGGAGAAGATAGAGAAATAGAAATTTAATTTATTCAGAAAATACACAAAGTTAGGTCATTATTCATAGGCTACTACAGAAGTATGTTCAGGACGGGGTTTTGTTGGTAATCCAAGCCTACATATGTCACAACTCACCGCTGACGTGAAATGTGTTGATTTCTTTACAATGTTTTGGGGTTATTGTTTGCTCAAAGATACTTCTCCAATATTCATTCAACAACCTTTGCAAAAATCGTTACTAAAACATCAATATGACCAACAGTTTGGTTTAACCAGACATACCCATAACCGTGAGAAAATAATAAATATCCTTATGCTTGATGCCCAAGTTACTTTGCCAATACTATACTCCTCACAAAAAATTAAGCAACAAGTATTTTCAGTGTAATATCTTTATCAATCTCGACAGTGATTTTTGCCGTCATGTTACTAAAAGGTAAATATTCAAAGAATGCATAACCTTTATTGACTGTCAAATTGATTTATCTGGTAATATTAACAACATCGGCTGAACACAACCACCCTCAGAAACAACATGCAAAATGCGTACCATGAATGTCCTCCACTCTTCAAACATGCACCCTGATCGGTGTAAACCTACCTGTAATCATTCCTCTGGTACAACAAGCGGGTCCTAACTTCATATTTATGGATGATAATGCCCGTCAATGGATGATAATGCCTGAGAAAGAGTTGTTAACGATGTTGTTTAGATCAACAACATCACATATGGACTGGCCTGCAAGGTCACTTGATGTATATCCCATTGAACATGCTTGGTGCATTATTGGAAGTCGTGTTTACGGTCTCCATGTTCACCCCCAGACTCTGGATGACCTTGAACAGGCGTTACAGAGAGAATGGCAGAACATTCCACAACAGCAACTTTAAAGGCTCATTTGGGCAATGTCAATACATGTAGAAGCTTGCATTTGTGCTCAAGGTGGTCATTCGCGTTACTGAACACTGCTTCACTGTCCACAAATGACTTGAAACTTAACGTTAACATTTTGCTCCATCAATGCAGCACATTTTGCACGACTGTTTCACGGGTACATGCTTTTGATGGTTTGTAAGTCTATAATTACTCAATATCATTTCATTTCATTTTGTTAATCGTGTGTACATATGTTTCACCTTTCTTTTGCATCATACCATGATTTGCAATTTCAATAAATGAAAATGTAATGAGACTAAAAATATGTTGCTGACCTTTTTTGTGAGGAGTATATCTAAGTGAACTAACATATTATAGGACAGTTTTGTGAGGAGTATATCTAAGTGAACTAACATATTACAATAGTTCACGTACAATATTATTGATTACACAATTTTCATATTATTATTATAGTATATTTATATAGTGCACATATCCACGCAACTAGTGCCTGCTCAAGGCGCTGACACTGATAATCATTAGTAATGATATCGATGATATTTCTATTTTCAATCTTTTTAGCCAGCCCTAGTATGCATAACACAGGTACATCTGAACCATGGCCACAATTAGGCTGTTCAGAATGTGTGAATCTAATGGCAGTAAGTATGTATAGAGTTAATGCAAATACAGTGGAAGCCCTCTAAACCGGCATTTGTTGGGACCGACAAAAAATGCCGGTATAGAGGACGTGCTGGTTTAGAGAACTTTTTCCTTTTCAACCTGCGAATGATCTTCCCTATGCCATAAAATACGGCTGTACAACGTGTTGATAGTCATCATATTCGCCGCTCACTTTGATGTTTGATGTTGTTTCGTGTCTTCCAGCGTGCCAGGCAACCATCTGATGCCTTAAACCTGTTGATATTTAATTCTGAAGCAAACGGAATAGCTTTCTCTTTCAAAACAGGGCCAGAAATGGGCATGTTTTTACTGCGGGCAGTCGAAAAACAATCATGCGTCAGTGTGTTAAGTTTGTCAAATTTACTGTTTTCATTTACACGACAATTAATTTATAATACAAGTGACACGTGTCACTCACCAATTTACCTAACCTACTTAGGCCTAATCCTTATCCATACTCCTTTTATCAGGCAACATCAATGAGCTTAATGCCGATGGTAATCCACTAAGTTGTCAATACACGTTCAGCCAATCAACCAATCAACAGGAGAGCCGAGATACCGGATGCCGGTTTAGAGAGCGTTAATTACAGTACAAACAGTCAATTGGGCGGTCTTTGTTGTGCCGAAATACGGAATAGACTGACGCCAGATTAGAGGGCGTGTAAATGATCATAAATTAAGTAGCTTCTGCCGGGACCAAATTCTAGTGGTGATATTGAGAGCATGCCGGATTGGAGGGCTGCCCGGTTTGGAGGGCTTCCACTGTATACACAAAGTCCAGTTCCCTGTGTTCGATGTAGTTTAGTCATTGTTAATGTTGTATTTGCAGGTCACCTGGCCATGGATAGTTATCTCTCCTGGGATGCAATGATAAGCCTGATGGAGGTATGTGTAACTATGGCGACAGGAACATGCTGTCAAGTATGATTACTGGAAGTAGGTGGTAGATAAATTGTCTTTCATATTTTCATGAAACTAACAGTGGGAGCTCAGATTATCTACTCTTTCAGGGGATCCTGTGACATTGAATCTAAAATGCAGAGTTGTCTCCCTTTGTTGTGCCAGGTTCCTAGGTTTGTTAGTAAATACATGTGATCCTTGAGGTTTCCAAGGACTCAATTGCTTGTCCTGTGATGAAGCAAAGTTAGGTCAGATGGTCAACTTGAAATCTGTCTATTTGCTCACTCAATCACTTGGATCAAGTGCATTTATCAATATAAAACAGAGATCCAATACTATGGACAATCTGCCATTAATTCTGATTGGTCTGTCAGAAGTATCTGTCATGAATTTGGAAAATGCTCAATTCTGATTGGTCTGTCAGAAGTATCTGCCATGAATTTGGAAAATGCTCAATTCTGATTGGTCTGTCAGAAGTATCTGCCATGAATTTGGAAAATGCTCAATTCTGATTGGTCTGTCAGAAGTATCTGCCATGAATTTGGAAAATGCTCAATTCTGATTGGTCTGTCAGAAGTATCTGCCATGAATTTGGAAAATGCTCAACTCTGATTGGTCTGTCAGAAGTATCAAATCAGTGTAAATACCTCTGATTGAAACAGCCCATTTGACAACCGTATATCTATGGAAGATAATATTTATAGAAATGTACTTGTTTTGTAAGAAGTGGTAGGGAAGCCTACTTGTTAAAGCCTTCACGAGACATGGGGAAGACACTAGTTCAATTTCCCTCATGAGGGCAACTTGTGAAGCCCATATCTGGTGTCCCCGACTGTGATATTGCTGGAATATTGCTTGAAGCAGCTTAAAGCCATACTTACTGTCTTCTTTCCCAGTCCTTGTCAGAAATATTATGTAGTAAATTACTCAGGATTCATGTCTTTTTCAATAAACCCTTTTTTTTCTCTAAATAAGTAAATGTTTTCTTACCAGCAACAGTCCAGCTTATCCAGTACAGTATAAAATATATTTTTGTGAGTTAAAAGTTTGACACAGAATCCATGAAGCTCATTCGAGTCTCCTCAAGGGGTATTCAATGGTCGGATTGTGGTTAAGATAACTAATGCTTGTGTTTCCCCAACAGACATCACTGGCGTTGAAAACCCCAGACTATATGGAGAACATCAAGCTGATCACTGGTGTGGGGCAGAGCTACGGCTACATTGTCTACAGGAAGACCCTCAACAAGGCGGGCTCACTGCTCAAACTGCCTGGACACGTCTCAGACAGGGCACAGGTGAGAGTGATGTACATTGCTAGTGCTGGATAACCTCACCTCACCTCACCTCCACAACACTACCTTACCTCACCTCACCACTCTAGACCTCAACTCAACTCACCTCACCTCAACAGACCTCACCCATATCACTTGTGCTGTAGGACCTCACCTTCACCTGGGGGCGGTGGGGTAGCCTAGTGGTTAAAGCGTTGGCTCGTCACGCCGAAGACCCGGTTCAATTCCCCACTTGGGTACAATGTGTGAAGCCCATTTCTGGTGTCCCCCGCCATGATATAGATGGAATATGGTTAAAAGCGGCATAAAACTGAACTCACTCATTCACTCACCTTCACCTCACCTCACTGGACCTCACCTCACCTCACCTATCTCACCTCACCACACCAGACCTCAGCTCAACTCAACTCACCAGACCTCACCTCGCCTCACCTTACCTCACCTCACCTGAAGGTGATGGGGAAGCCAGGTGGTTAAAGTAAACTGGTATACTGCTCGCCTCACCTGACCTCACCTGAAGGTGATGGGGAAGCCAGGTGGTTAAAGTAAACTGGTATACTGCTCGCCTCACTTCACCTCACCTCACCTCCTCACCTCACCTCACCTGAAGGTGATGGGGAAGGCAGGTGGTTAAAGTAAACTGGTATACTGCTCGCCTCACCTCACCTCACCCCGCCTCACCTCTAAACTGATCACCAGGTCCCGCTGCAGATAGTTCAAGTAAAATGTCAGAAAATTTATAAAGAGGTTATCCTGTGATTAAGAGACATTAGAAACACAAAACAGAAAAAAAACAATTTAAATACAGTTGATGATTGTTGACTAGTTGTGGTGAATCATGTATGAGCAGGGGTGCAAATAACCCATTGCCAGTCCCATCCGGGATTCGAACCCACACCCTCAGAGTGAGGCACCTAATCCTCAGCGATGGTTGAGCGGGTTAGGTGTCTGACTTTGTGTGCTGGCGATTAGGTGCCTCACTCTGAGCGTGTGGGTTTGAATCCCGGATGGGACTCAACCCACAAAAAGTACTAGAATCTGTCCTTTACTGAGAAAGTGTAGTCCCAAATATAACATATGTTACATGTGTGAGTCATATGTACAAACGTAGTTCTGGTATGTTCTTGTCAGTGTTGTCCAATGTCGATTGGACTGAGACGTGCGCAGTGAAGAGTTATGTCCCCTGTCTACAAATCAAGCTGGCTGCGATCCCCGGCCGCGTCATACAAACAGACGTTAAACATGGTACTCGTTGGTCCCTGCGTGGCGCTCGGCATTAATGGGTACAACAAGGACTGGTCGGCTCGGAGTCAGTATAATGTGTCTGAGTGGGGTATTCCTGCTTCACTGCGGCATGGTATCTCAGTGGGCTAGCACTATAAAACCAGCTTAAGTCTAGGCTAGTACACGCAGCCACACATACACATGGATGCACGTCATGATATGAGCGAAATAAGTAATGTGTTAAACTCCATTTCACCTCACCTTCAGGTGCTATCTTCAGTTTTTTCTTACTTCTTTCTTTGGGCTTCTTGAAAGTTATTATTCATTTATTAGGCAAAGATGATTCATTCTAAAATTCAGTTCAGAGTACAAGCAGCCGCACATACACACGCATGCACGTCGTCATATGAGCGAAATATTCTCAAGCACGACGTAAAACCCAATTTCCCCTCACCTCTTCAAGACAATATCGAAACACCCAAAACCAAATAACTGGACTTTGAAAATGCCTTCTATTCACATTGAAAATGTCCTCTGATCGGTTGAAAATATCTGCTGATGGTATTTATAATGTCCGCTAATGGCCTTGAATGTGTGTGATAACCTTAGTAAGTTCCAAACTAGGTCTTGAAAATGAATCCTGTTTCAGATTTTGCTGGACTCCAAGGAGACAGCCATATTGGACTGGCACAATAAGGACCCTGAGGTCCCCCTGGAGGATGTCAAGGTAGGTAACTCTTACCGTGGCTTTAGAATGTACTTTACATCTAGCAGTATGGGAGTACTAAATGTTGATTGGGTTCCGATTCCTTTTGCTATAAATGTTCTCTAGGATATGTTACGGTTAATAATTTGCCGTGACAAAAGGTTTAAGAATCCCCTTTGAACCTGCAATATAGAACACATACAAGTCTAACATAATATATTGAATATACAATGAGCAAGCTACAATGAATGACAATGCAGATTTCTAGTAAAATGCAGTTAAATCACAAATCTAAAATATTGGGCAGAGCTACAGATAACATTTTAGGTCATTGGGTTATGTACTCGCTTGTGTTCATCTCAATTGTGTATCCTAATTTTCCTTTGAGTAACCAATTAAATTGTACCCTCCTCACTCAAACTCAAATGGGTATTTTGCCATTTTCCATTAATTGTAAAAATATAATAAAGTTTAAAAGTTATTTATTTTGTATCTGTAATATGAGAAACGATAAGAAAGACTGAAAGTTGGCAAGTTCATGTGTTGAAATAGAACCTCTGAATATACCTCAGTTATTTTATCTATGGAAGCTAAGATTCGACATTTTTGTGTGTGTACGCCTGTAAGATAAAAATTATTGAGTATTTACAAAAATTCAAGCGTACTTGTACGCAATACACTTAACAAGAATTGAGTTTTCACATAAATATTTGCGTAATTTACGCAGATACGCAGCTTATCTGTACCTCTGTTGGGTCACAAATATATAATATTGACTCACATTTACAGTGAGAGCACATATACTGATTGAAGGCTGTTTACAATGACAACAGTTGAATATAGACGAGCACGGTCAGTCTTGAAATGTAGGTCAGTTTGACGATGGCAGGCAGATGTGTATAAATCCAGTCATGTAATAAATCCCGTCGTACAACGCAACAACCAGCCTTTTTTATAGCTCTTACACAGTTCTCAAGCATTTTAGCAAAGCTTGGCTCCATCATTATTCTCTCAGAACGTTACAGGATTTTCTCGAACATACGACTGGACGTCAAAACAAAATAAAGCCAGCCAAGGGAGGCAACTCTGAAGTGCTATCAAAAAGGCATACCGTTAAAAATACTATTGCCATTGAACATATATGATGCAAGATGCGAGCAAAATCCCACACCCAAAATGCCAAACACCATGACCCATAACAATCATCACTTAATCAATGTGATATCACAAATTACAAAAAACACACTCTCATAACAGATAATTTACTGTACCAGTCTGACTCAATGACACTTCTGTGCAGAGTGATGCCCCTGACCTGTGCCAGTATCTTCAGCTACTGGCTTTACACATCAGCACCCTTCATGCTTAGAGCCACCATGTCTGGATAGTTGATACAATGTAGTCTCCATCTTGCAGGGCTGGTGGGGTAACAGGGTGTGATTTCGCTATTTACAACATGCACTGGTGCATGGCTGGTGCAGGTTACCTTCAGTAACAAGTTGCACCCGGTGCAGCTAACAATAAATTTTACAACATCTTGGAGCTGTCATCGGGTGTTCTAATTGGGAATTAAGTGACTGCACGTAAAACGTTTCTTTCCGCGTGACTTGGTACAAGAGTAATCATTTGTGTACTTATAAATAAGTTACGTAGCACATTCTTGTGTGTGTTTCTTGTCATGGTAGTAAGTGCAGAACTGGTGTTATGAGCACACATTGGAGTGACATTTAAATTTGTCAAACCATTTACTCCTCATTATGTCACATTACACAGAGCATTAATTGCGTCGTAGTAGTTGTTAGAACATAGGTTTAGTGTACACTGAAATTAGCCTTAAACAAATTACGTTAGCACTGACCTGATTAAGCGCACAACATAAGTGCTTCAGTTGATGTTCACGTAAACAACCTATTCTCATAGCTTATAATGCTTCGGGATGCAATGGAAAGAGGAAATGCTATGGCAACGTATCGTTTTCAAGAGGGTTTGAAACATAAATCAATTTATCGAATTTTATCGACTCGTTGATAGTGTGTTCAACAAAATATATTACACCCATTCACACGATAAATAAGCACACAACTTCTGGTTTATAGTTTCTACATAGTCAGGGACCGTTCATAATTTTTATTTTATTGTGTGTGTGTGTGTGTGTGTGTGTGTGTGTGTGTGTGTGTGTGTGTGTGTGTGTGTGAGATTTTTATGGAGAAGCATGTGAATGAACCCCCTACAATTCATGTACAAAGTAAGTGACATCCCCTTTGCATATGTCATATTCAAGATCAATTAACCCCCCCACACACATAATTTTAAGCATAATATTTTTTATGTGCAGATTTGCTGACCCCCCTAGTACAATGTGTACAAAATAATTTGCTGACCCCCCTAGTACAATGTGTACAAAATAATTTGCTGACCCCCCTAGTACAATGTGTACAAAATAATTTGCTGATCCCCCTAGTACAATGTGTACAAAATTGATGAACCCTACCTTTCCAGAACAAAATAGTTGACCCCCTTAAAATCATCATCACCTCATATCCCCCCCCAAAAAAATTATGAACAGTCCCTTAGGCCATTTTTCAATCCCAAAAATGTACAGTAAACTGGCATATTGCTTGCATAATATATTTCTAAGTATCGTTTGGGACCCCACCCCTCTCTTTACCATTTTTAAAGGCTGTACCTTCTCTACACAAATAACCAGTACCTAAATGTCCGATCACATTTTGAAAACACAAGAATATTATTTGAAATTGTGTTTCAGGTGTTGTCAAATAATGTAACTAAGCATGAGTGAAATACTGAAATATATAAACACATTGAACAATTACTGGAGGTCTGAACTATCTGATGCCAGAAGCAAGGGGGTATCAGGTCCAATTCCTTTAACATGTTTAAGGTGGGAGCCTTTTAGATTTGGAAATAAAATTTGTTTCATTTGTTTTTCCAGCATGTGTGAAGGGTTTGCAAATTACATCAAGGCTCATCACAATTATAATGGGCTCACAGTATCAGTGAACACAGTGTGCATTTGAAATATTGAAACAAGGAATAATTTAGCTTTTGAACGGTTGTCTAAATGGTACAACTGAGATTCTACAATACTTAGGATTATTATCATGTGTCAATTATCATCAGCCAAAAATCAACAAAGTCTGGGTTGTCATTTCAGTTTTTATTGTTCAACATATTATATTCTGCTTGTATGGACATTCATAAATATAGACATACATACAGTAAAAAATTACGGTCTCCTTTGAAAAACCTTGATTAACACTTACATCAGATGCATGTTGATGTTTTCCACACTGACAATCATACTGTCAATATTGCTGTACAGATAATTTAGGTGACATGCATATGGACCAAAATGGAAGTACAACAGTGAACTCTGAATAGTTTGACAGTCCTGTGTAAATGAAAATTGCTGCAGCACTAAGCATAATAGTTAGTACTGGAAGCACTGCATGTTTGTCTCTCTGTGTTGATATACAGTTACTTTCATATTTGGCCTCAATATTCTTGCCATCAAAATCATCATGGGTGATTGTTTCCCCACCAGCAACCTCAAGTCATGTCACATGTAACAGCACAAGTATCCACCAGCATTAAGTGGGTCAGTTGATACAGTCCAGGGAAAGAATCAGTCATACAGCATCTGTTTTTCTCTCTTGCCTTAGAGGTGTTCATCCTGGAAAACATCAGTGGAGTATTACTATCCCAACTGATACAGGGTCATATTATCTTATGACTGCCAGTTATGAGAAATTGTCAACCAAAAGACACTGTGTTCTTTAATCTGATTGGTTGAAAAACGTGATCAAATGGTATTTGATTCCCGGAAACTCTCTGCGTATTAATACATACAAACATCGCTCACACCATTGTATTGTTACGTCGTCAGCTGTGATGACGTCATTAAAATCATATTGTGACGTAAAGTCCGAATGACGTCACAAATGAGCAGTTCCAGATGCTACCATGGGAGACAGCCGAAACGGCCGGCTGATGACATTTCACTGCTGTACCCGTACTCGATGTCAATGAGAGCAGACACAAAAAACATGTGTGGACCTTTTGGATTACTTTTGTGTTTACAAGGTTTCAAATGAAATATTCCTGTGCTTCAAATACTCAATAACACCCGGGAATTCACCACCACGTGATGTTTATCTCCTAAATGTATCATTATCAGATTTAAGTTACTGTTGTGGAGAAATGTTCACATGATGAACACATTCATTGGGATAAGTTAAAGGTAGAAAACATTATACTTAACAAATGTTTCAACTATGGAGAAGCATAATTTAAATATACTGACATTTTTATCCCCCGCAACGCGTTTGGCGGGGGGTATTAAAATGGACTCCGTCCGTCCGTCCGTCCGTCCGTCCGTCTGTCCGTCCGTCCGTCCGTCCGTCCGTGCACATTTGTCTTTTCCGGAGCAGAACTCTAAAACCGTTCAATATTTCTTCACCAAACTTGGCACATACATGGATCTGGTGGTGTTGTGGTGCCTTTTGGTAGTTTTGGAATTCTGAATCAAATATTTTTGGCGTTTCCATGGCACAAGTTCGACTTAGACTGAAATTGGTGGTAGCGCTCTTTTCCGGAGCAGAACTCTAAAACCGTTCAATATGTCTTCACCAAACTTGGCACATAGATAGATCTGGTGGTGTAGTGGTGCCTTTTGGTAGTTTTGGAATTCTGAATCAAATATTTTTGGGGTTTCCATGGCACAAGTTCGACTTAGCCTGAAATTGGTGGTAGTGCTCTTTTCCGGAGCAGAACTGTAAAACCGTTCAATATGTCGTCACCAAACATGGCACATAGATAGATCTGGTGGTGTACTGGTGCCTTTTGGTAGTTTTGGAATTCTGAATCAAATATTTTTGGCGTTTCCATGGCACAAGTTCGACTTAGACTGAAATTGGTGGTAGTGCTCTTTTCCGGAGCAGAACTGTAAAACCGTTCAATATGTCGTCACCAAACATGGCACATAGATTGATCTGGTGGTG